AGCTCTGGTAAGAAGCCGTATCCCAGCTAGAAATACGCCGCTCTACCCCAGCTCGGGCAAGCTACACGCCTACCCGAGTTTGAGCTGCGTCACGCGCTCTCAGCCGCTGTTACACTAGCACTCGAGATACTTCCCTGGGCCTTAGTTGAATGGCCACCGCTCAACCTCCGGGTTATCTTCAGTTCCTCAGTTACTCGATCCCGGCACACCTAACCTCAATAATAATTTGACAGGCCCCATAGCATTGCAATTTGATCAAAAAATTAAGGGAATAATTGCGAAGATGATATGGATTTACAATTAAACGTAATCGCAAGGGCAGCAAAAGCTGAAGTGGTATAAACCAGTCCAGTGGTATTACTTTGAAATACGATGTAAATAATTCAGAAAAACGTAATAAAGAATTTCTTTTTTTTTCAACACAACTCGCAATATCTAGAGAAATAGTCACTGGAAAAATGAGCACAAACCTTCTTTGTTATGAAGTTATATTTTCATGTTTGAATCGTCAAACACACGTTCACTGTTTGAAAAAAAGAAAAAATTCATGGAGAGTAAATCAGTAATTACAAGAGGGTAACATTGAATACAATTTAAGGATGAAAAATCATAAACTTTCATATATTACTAAAAATCTAATGATATCCCAATTTTTTTAGCAGCATTAAGACGAGTATTCCTTAAGAGGTTTGAATCTTCTATAAAAACATGAATGTTGAATGACAAATTACGTTGGTTTTTCCATGAATGGAATATTAAAAAATATGTTTACTGGATTTTTCCCAATTTATATTAATTTTCAGGTAATAATTGAACTGAAATTTACAGTTCACAATGATTTTTTCATGATATTATGAATTTTCAATGACGAAATTCCTTGGAATTCCAATGGAACTGAAATATGATGAAAAATTTCCTGGAAGAGTAACCAAAATTTCAGCAAACATTTTGAAAAGTGTATGCTCAAATAAAGGAAAAGGAACACGATGCAATTTTTTCAAAAATATTTTTCATCCAAAATTTATCACAGATGAAGCATTGATGCCACAAACATGTCAGGATCATCAAGTGGGTGGAAAGAGGTGATCATCGGTACGAGCTTCGACTTTATACTGCTGAAGGGGAATACTTCACTTTCAGTGTAATTGTCTAACTCCCAGAATTTAACTGCTACAGAGTCCAGGGGGTAATCATACGCTGGAAGCTTTGTCCAGTTATTTCCTCTAATACTCAAATTTGATGGACTTGCTTCTTCGCCAAAAATGTCAGTAATTTCGACAATGAATCCAGTGCCCAACAGTACAAAATTATTGGGAGCACAAGTAATAATCGTCATCGACTCTTGATCTTGATTTTTTGCACGTGTATGACACCCTCTCGAACGACAGATTTTTCGATTTTGAAATCCTCAGGAGTTTTTCTAACTGTACCCAAAATATTTTCCTTCTCATGTATCCTTCTGCAGTACTGTTGGAGAGATTTCACATGTTCTTTAACTGAACTCTTTATTTCTCCGAGATAATTTTCAAAAGTAAAACAATGTATTTTGTTTAAGTCACAGCCAAATGTCAACACATCATCAGGGATATGTCACATATTATGCATATTTAAAACAAAAGCGTGTTCTCCATAGTAGTCGGGCAGTTTGATGAGGAAAACTTCGATGAAGAGTTTCGCTTGCCTCAATTGTCCTTTCCTGTACTTTTTACACTTTGACAAAGAAATTGAAATACCATGGGTAACTTAGTTGTAATTTCTGTGAGAGAGCAACATGGAATTCGATGTAAAGGGGAAAAATCATGAAATTAAAAATTTAATTGAAAATTGTTAGAATTCCAAATTTTTAAGCATCAGGAAGATGAGAATTCTCCAATTTTTTCCAATTTTTAATGAAAACTATACTAACCTATAAAAAATTTGAGAATGAATTAACCTGAATTTTCCTCCTTTTTTAAATTCATTTTCATGGAAGACACGCACGAAAAAATTTAATAGAAAATCCTAGCGAATTCGCTAGAAAATTCTATAGGATTTCTATTGAATTTTCTATATTTTTTGCCGTTTCTATTGACATGTTTAATAGAAAATATTGTATAGAAAAAGTCAATAGAATTTCATTTTTCTATAAAACTTATTTATATTCTATTGAGATATTTTCTACAAAATTTTCTCGGCTCAAATTTTCCAAGTCTTTTTCATTCCATTTTTTTCTTCGCTTCAAGAAAATCAAATAAAAAAACTTAGAAAATTTGAGTCGAAGAAATTCTATAGGAAATCGATTTCTATTGACTTTTACTATAGAATATTTCCTATCGAAATGTCAATATAAACGGCCAAAAACTTATAGAAAATTCAATAGAAATCCAAAAAAATTTTCTAGCGAATTCGCTAGGATTTTCTATTAAAGTTTTTCATACGTGGAGTTAAACTAAAATTTGAATTATCTCATATTTTCATTGAATAAAATATGTTTAATGAAAAGATTTTTGTGTTGTTAATGAGACGTTGAAAATCAATTGAATCAGTTGTACCAAGACGATTCAAAAATGATATTCTTGAGTGATTCACAAAAGGTATTTCTGTGTTTTTTTTTTCTTTGAGGAATGAAGACACGTGAAATGGACTTGTTTCGATTTTTCTGTATTTTTCTTTGGAGCAATGGGGATTTTTTTTTGCGAGATTTTTCCCGGAGAGGAAGATTCCTAGAAACCTTCAAGATTATTCTGGGGAATGATCCAATTCGATTTTGCCCCACCCTCCGCTCGAAAGGANGAAAGGTCACGAGGGTCATAAAGAAATGATCAAATTTTAAGAGGGTCAAACGGCGCAAGGGTCACAATGGGACGATCAAATTTCACGAGAGTCAAACGTCACAAGGTTTACTATGAAATGGTCAAATTTTCCGAGAATCAAACGTCACTAGGGTTATAAGGAGACGGTCAATTTTCATGAGGGTAAAGCAGACGCTGATTTTCACGAGGCTCCAAAATCACAAGGGGATGAGCATTTACGATAGGGTTATACATCGCATGGATCGCAAGGGAATACGATGCCTAAATATATCAAGATGTTCAAAAGTCACAAGTCNGGACACGACTGAGTCGTTGCTGAGTTTCGAGTGTTGAGCCACTGTTCAACCTCAAGTACCGGCGTTGCGCTCCAAGCCGGAATGGAGCGGCGTGACGCGCCGTGAACTTGGGTACAGCGTCAAGCTGAGGCTAAGTTCTGAGTACCCGAGTTGCGGCTGAATCTCCGGTCAAATTCCTACACGGGACTCCAGAATATTCTGATTCCGGATTCCGGAATATAATATCCCGGATTTCGGAATACACATATTCCTAATTTCAGCATATTATATACCCGATTCGAGAATATGTTTTTTTCGGTAAGACATAAATTTATTCTGAGGATTTTAGCCAAAACGTTTTGATGCAACCGGCCTTATTTGAATTAAATGAATTTTTCTTTGAACTTGATAAAAAATGATTTGGGTCTAATGATTCACAAATTATACGGAATAGTCATGTGAAATTAATCAAAAAAATGTGGGATTCGGTGAAGGATAGAAGGGTTTTGTCACGTAAAACACTCGGAATTAACGTATATATCGAATTGAATTTATTCACAGCGAAAGTAACTTTGGTTCATACTATGAGAGCTGGAACGAGAGTGTGCTCCCGCGACAACGGTATTAGATCATCCGATCGAGGATATCCGAATTATGACGAATCGTCGCGAGGATGTCTTGCGACAAGGACAGCAATATATCGGCGACACGTGTCACGGTAGGAAATTCAGTTGCTAAGCCGAGCTCGAAAACAATACATTGAAATGGTGTGAAATAAATATAAAAGTAGCTTCGCTACAATACTCCCCTTCTGCGACGAAAAAGAAAAAGATGACTATATACAATATATTCAAAGGTATACGTGTTAAACGGCACTGAAAACGGTATACGTGACTCTAAAGAAAATTAATTTAATTATTGACAGAATCTGACGCGTTTTCTCGATGATGATGGGGTTGAGTCCAACGATGATCTTGCATCACTCGATGGAGCCCAAGATGATGATGTGCGTCTAGATGTTTCTGGTTGTGATGATGTTGCAGGTGTCGGTTGCTGAGACGGTCGTGAGCTTTTGGAGTGGTTTTCAGGCAATCCTCATCTCTGCGGAGATGAGCTCGGCGAGTCGTCCCGGTGTTCTCGACGCCGGCATCGAAGTGATTCGACATGAGGTTACTTTCTTCTCTCCCTCGTGAAGTGGACTGTAGCCTATGTATATATGTCTTCGCCGTATTTTGCGATGACGCGTATGCATGTGTCCAGGTGTGTGTGTGCTGCTCTGATGATGACGTCTTTCGCTCGTCGATGTGACGTCGCGTATTCCAGAGCGTCAGATTCTCGTTGATGCTTGGCGGAAATGAGCTCAGTGAGTCGGCCCGATGTTCTCGATGCTGCCATGGAAGAAGTTCGGCATGAGGTTACTTTCTTCTCTCCTTCATGCGTGAGTATCGCTGTTTGCATCCTCGTTAGCCCGAGTGTGGGTGAGCTTATCATCCTCGGTGGCCCGTGTCGCGCGTGCGGTGTCCATTATCTCGTACCAACGGAGTGTTTGGTCTTCCTGGTGGTAGAGTTGATGTTGCCTGCATTTGTATGATTCTCGACGATGCTTTAGCGGAGATGAGTTCAGTGTGTCGGCCCGATGTTTTCAACGCTGCCATCGGAGTTTTTCGGCATGAGGTAACTTTCTTCTCTCCCTCATACCTGAGTGTCACTATCCTCCAGCTGCTCATCATGACCCGTCGTTACTGTAGTCGTGTTTGCACGGTTATCGTCGTTTGACCTGGTCACCAAATTTGTAATGGTATCAGCATTTATCGGATTTGTGAACGGATGTTCTTGAACGAGATTTTGCACGCGAATGCGAACGAGACTTTAAACGCGAACATGAACGAGAACGTTGATTTTTGACTGCACTCGCCAATTCTGAAATGCAAGCCTAGAGACGCGAAAATCTTTGTTCTAGAGCGGGAACGGCTGGATCGACAACAGGAGAAATCGCAGTGATACTTGGTGGTGACAATATCTCCTGTAATTTGTCTGCGAGGGCCGCCATTTTGTCGAGGGTAGAATCTGCTTGCGTCGCCAGGATTGATTCTGTATTGGGCGGCAAGCGTGAAAGCCATTTTGTTTTTAATATATTCTCTGGAATGTTATCTACAAGGGATTTTAAGTGTCTTAAAAATTGTGAGGGATTACGATCACCGAGAACCTCCTTGTCCAGGAGCTGGTGTAGTCTGGCTTCCTGGAAAGCGGTGAGTCTCTCCACGAGGGCGTCTCTTAACGCCTTGTGTGGAGTCTGAGCTGGTGGATGCAATATAATATCCTGGACCTCGGCTGCAACGGTATCAAGATGAACGGCAGGAATTTGGTGGAATTTGTCCAGTTCATCCACGATGCCGGGAAGGTGAAATTGTCCTTCGAGTTGAGTAAACCAGAGTTCAGGAAGCTCAGCGGAAAATGGTGCAGGGCAAACTATAAGGCGTCTCAACGCCTGAGTTGTGTCAGCTTCCTCACCCATTTTCACTAGATTTCACTTAAAATGTTTAGAAGTGCACTAATCGTGTCAAAAATTATTCGTGATAATTTTCACGGTGCAGCACAATATCTTTGGATGCTCAGTGATGCACCAAGATGCACAAAAAAATCACACGTGGTAACACAGCGCGCGAAACGATAGGAACGCTACCGAGCACTATGCCAAAACCGAACGCTTCTCGAACAATCGACGAAAAACCAAGCGATCGAAAATCATTGTAATTTTAACGGAAAACGATTGCACTTGTTAACACGTTAATGCGGCAATTTTATTTGTCATGTTGAAAGAATCACGTCGGGGATTCGGTGTGGGATAGAAGGCTTGAAATGAATAAAAAAAATATGAAATGAAGATTTTTGATTCATATAAACCATTGTTCTGGGGGTGTTCACATCTGATTGACGAATTAGTGTAGAACATTTTTTTTCAATAATTTCTATATTGTCAGACCGTTATCCATTTCAACTCAACAATTAAAACAAAACTCGTGAAAAGACGAGTTATTTTTTTTTAGATTATGGCGGCCTATCAAATAACACATTTGGCAATTTTACACTTTTTATAGTTATCTATCAGATCTGGCCAATCGTCACTCGCCTCAAGATTTTTCCTCATATTTGCTCATTTTCAACAACTTCACAGCACATTTCTAACTCATAAAGCGACAGTGGTTTCTCAAGTGCAGTCGCAATCACAAGCTGGTCCAAAGACTCGCCCGCACGTCGGGAGGCGAGCTCCCACAGTACCTCCGCAGCGCGCTCACCCAGATGTCCTTACATATATTTACATACATATATTTTAATCATATCATATATATTTTGGCCAAAAATGCTGTATGTGGTATATATGTCACATATATGCGAAAATATACTCTGAAATATTTGTAAAAAATAAGTCATTTACATATAAAAGGAGCGTTATTTGGAATCAAAAGTCTAATGACTTTTTCACCTCGATGCTGCGTCGATAAGTCATAAAGTGAATAAAAAAGGACAGCCACCCAAAAAATTTGATTTTATGGTGCCATCACGAGCGAGAACTCAATCGCTTTTATGTATGCCATGGTTTTCTGTTAATATATTAAATATTAAGAACCCCCCAACAAAAAATAGCAATTTTCGTCACAAGGTTGGAAGAAACTTTTCGGACGAGTGTGAGAGTGGCAGACCGAAGCGAAGCCGAGGATTGCAATCACACGAGTCTGAAAAGTTTTTCCGACCGAGTGACAAAGCTAATTTTTCTTCACACTGTCTGTAAACGGTATTTGACAGACACGAAGTGTCCATCAAAGACTATTTTACAGACAGTGTGATGAGAAAATCGTGGACTGAATTATTTTAAAAAGAAAACATCAATTTTGGTAATTGCGACGCGTTATCAATNGTTTCGGGATATTTTGAAATGTAATATCGATATAGAGATGAGAAAATAGTATATTTTGTTATGAGTGCGGAACAGAGTTTTTCGCCTTCGGCTCGTGCTATAAACCTCCCACGAGCCAAAAAACACNGTCTGTAAACGGTATTTGACAGACACGAAGTGTCCATCAAAGACTATTTTACAGACAGTGTGATGAGAAAATCGTGGACTGAATTATTTTAAAAAGAAAACATCAATTTTGGTAATTGCGACGCGTTATCAATAAACATAATGAGCAGAAATCACTTATAATGAGATAGGAGGAGTGTACCAAACTTGTACTCGATTATTCAACATTCAAGGCGGTGGAAAATTTCAAATCATGACCACGAGTGCTTACACAGATACACGGGAAAAATCGTCGGAAGTAGCCTTGCGACCGCAAAATTTTTCCCGATGATTCCTACGAGGGATGCTCCTCGGGTGAAAAAATCGGGAGAAATCCGTTTTGACATCCATATTAATGAAAAATTGGTGAAACGATCCGATATAGAATGTTTCGGAAATGTCTCGCGTTCAATCGTGAAAATTCGGAGAATTTGCGGAACTCTCCTTAATCAATTACGGTGGACTCCTGATGGAGTAACACGCACATGATTGTAGGAGAAGCGAATTATCACGTCACATGGGTCACAAGAGAATGGTCAAATTTCCCGAGAGTCAAATACCGCGAAGATTACAAGGAGATGGTCAAATTTTTTGAGGGTGAAACGTCGCGAAGGTTACAACAGAATGGTCAACTTTCACGACAGTCAAACCACACGCGGGTCACAACGAAACCAGAAAATTTTTCGAGGGTCAAACGTCACGAGGCTTACAAGAAGATGGTCGAATTTGACGAGAGTGAAAGGTCACGAGGGTCATAAAGAAATGATCAAATTTTAAGAGGGTCAAACGGCGCAAGGGTCACAATGGGACGATCAAATTTCACGAGAGTCAAACGTCACAAGGTTTACTATGAAATGGTCAAATTTTCCGAGAATCAAACGTCACTAGGGTTATAAGGAGACGGTCAATTTTCATGAGGGTAAAGCAGACGCTGATTTTCACGAGGCTCCAAAATCACAAGGGGATGAGCATTTACGATAGGGTTATACATCGCATGGATCGCAAGGGAATACGATGCCTAAATATATCAAGATGTTCAAAAGTCACAAGTCACAATTTCAGATACTCAATTGTAAGAAGGATCATGGTGTTGATTATTGAGCTTTATTGAACTCTCCATGTGAGGCCCTTAGAAATTGAAAATATGGCGTTCTCCTTGTAACCCTCGTTTGACCCNCCGAACGATAGAGAAAAGGGACGTTTTAGGCACGCGAAGGGTGCCTAAAAAGTTACTTTTTCNCGAGTGCTTACACAGATACACGGGAAAAATCGTCGGAAGTAGCCTTGCGACCGCAAAATTTTTCCCGATGATTCCTACGAGGGATGCTCCTCGGGTGAAAAAATCGGGAGAAATCCGTTTTGACATCCATATTAATGAAAAATTGGTGAAACGATCCGATATAGAATGTTTCGGAAATGTCTCGCGTTCAATCGTGAAAATTCGGAGAATTTGCGGAACTCTCCTTAATCAATTACGGTGGACTCCTGATGGAGTAACACGCACATGATTGTAGGAGAAGCGAATTATCACGTCACATGGGTCACAAGAGAATGGTCAAATTTCCCGAGAGTCAAATACCGCGAAGATTACAAGGAGATGGTCAAATTTTTTGAGGGTGAAACGTCGCGAAGGTTACAACAGAATGGTCAACTTTCACGACAGTCAAACCACACGCGGGTCACAACGAAACCAGAAAATTTTTCGAGGGTCAAACGTCACGAGGCTTACAAGAAGATGGTCGAATTTGACGAGAGTGAAAGGTCACGAGGGTCATAAAGAAATGATCAAATTTTAAGAGGGTCAAACGGCGCAAGGGTCACAATGGGACGATCAAATTTCACGAGAGTCAAACGTCACAAGGTTTACTATGAAATGGTCAAATTTTCCGAGAATCAAACGTCACTAGGGTTATAAGGAGACGGTCAATTTTCATGAGGGTAAAGCAGACGCTGATTTTCACGAGGCTCCAAAATCACAAGGGGATGAGCATTTACGATAGGGTTATACATCGCATGGATCGCAAGGGAATACGATGCCTAAATATATCAAGATGTTCAAAAGTCACAAGTCACAATTTCAGATACTCAATTGTAAGAAGGATCATGGTGTTGATTATTGAGCTTTATTGAACTCTCCATGTGAGGCCCTTAGAAATTGAAAATATGGCGTTCTCCTTGTAACCCTCGTTTGACCCTCGTCAAATCTGACTATCCTCTTGTGATCCTCGTGACATTCGACTCTCGTCAAATTTAACTATTTCCTTGTGACCCTGTTGATGTTTGACCCTCAAGAACCTTGACTCTCTCCCGGTAACCCTCGTGACGTTTGACTCTCGTGAAATTTGACTGTCTCCTTGTAACCCTCATAAGGTTTGACTCTCTTGAAATCTGATCGTCCTCTTGTCACCTTCGTGATGTTTGACCCTCGTGAAATTTGACCATCCTCTTGTGACTCTCGTGAGGTTCGACATTCGTGCAATTTGATCATCTTCTTGTGACCCTCATGACGTTTCACCGCCAGAAAATTTGACCATCTCCTTATAACCTTCGTGACGTTTCGTAACCGGTCTAAATAACACTCGACAATTTCAATACACACATTCAACACATGCAAATTCAACACAAACAAATTCAATACATGCAAACTCAACACAAACAAATTCAACATAAGAATTCAATACTCTTCATCATATCCAAAGAGAAAAGACAAATTTATTCAACACATATCAATAAATGATTATAAATACAACACATCATAGGAGGGAGGCACATCGGTCCCGTGATACGTAAGAGGTTTCTGCATTATCATCAGCGTTTACTCTCTGCGACTAAGAATTTTGATGGCAGAGGTGATGTGATTGCTTATTTGCGTACTCAAACGAGTAATATTCACATTCATGGACTAATTAAAAATAAAACAGATTGAGATAATCATTGGTGTTTTTCGGTTGTGAACGGTCAGGTGTTGTTAGATGTATTGTATTTATTGCGGTCGTTATTTGTGTTTTGAAATGATTCAGAAGGCGATAATCACTATCTTTATTATGGTTTAATGGTTTGGATTTATTACATTGCGATTATTGTATTTATAATTATTTATTGATATGTAATGAATAAACGAGCAGGGGTACGAGCCTGGTTGGCAGAAGCCATATGACTGTTACTCTATGAACTATGAGTTTTTTTTTCTTTTCTCTCTACCAATTTCATTGGTAATAAGCTTCCGAATGGAAACAATTCAACCAATCAATTCCGAACATGATTATATTTAGAAATATTAGTGCATTAACTGTGTGTGTCGATTTTTCGAATACCCGGTAAGTTGCTTCTATATTCTAGCACATTTCAACTTATTTAAAATTTCCTCTATTATTTATTATATAACAAGAGTGTTTTTCGACCACGAGCTCCCTCGAGTGAAACATCTTTCTCCGTACTCATATCAATACACTACT